GCCGTGCATTCCATCTTTGGACACCCTCAAAGCGTCTTTATGCATACGATTCTTCCAGATACATGCATTGCTTACGTTCAGGCCACCTTTCTTCATTCGCTCAATTTATTCGGTCTAATGGGTGTAAAACACCCTCTTTTACCTGTATAGCCGATGCACTCGGTCCAAAGTTCAGGTTAAGAAGGGGTCTCAGCAGGATCAGGGAAAAGTGATCTGCTGTTAAATAGTCAAAATAAACCTAGTACATGGTCATGACCGCCAAAGGCAGTTCATCCCGAGAAGCCAATGCGATGGGTTAGCGATAGCGGCAGCCAGAACTGCAACTATATTAAAATGAATGCATGCTACTGTAAAAAAGGAAACCGGGCAGGCAGGCAACAGAAAGAGGCAGAGCAAAAGAGAACGCAGGGGGAGGGAGGGGCGGCTGTGAGACACTCACGAAAACGAGACTGTTGAAAGTGCGCAATTGCATCGACGATGGCATTCAGTTTGGTAACCCAGACGGTTGTTGGTTGGCCGTTGATGCGGGGATGAGCTACGTTGGTGTAGGCCAGGTCCGAAAGGTAGAGTCCTATGAAGGAGAGAAACGAGGAGGTGCATAAGTAACAGTTCTGGAGGAGAAGGCAGGGGGGCGGGGGAGGAACGTGACAAGAATCTGCTGTGACGCAAATGGGAGAAGCGGTCTATCGGCATGGCTAAAGAGGTGAGCGTGAGCTACTCGCGAGTAGGTTACGCTCACACAGAGTGAAAGCGTGCTCACATGCATTAAATGACGTAATGGGACTGCGATCGCAGTAAGATAGGCAGTTGAAACTCAAAACTACGGACTATAGAGTGTGCGGCATGTTAGCAAGATTGGTGTGGTATCCAAAAGCTAGCACCCTCTCCACTCCCACTTAATTATTCTTTAGGGGTATACTTAAATTCACAGTCGGTGACCGACCCCAAGAAATGTTAACCAAAGTTCTGAAATGCATGTTCGAACAGAAGCATTTAAATCGCATTGTAACATTTATTAACCTGGAGCATAACCCCAAGATATTTCAGGTATGACAGGATACCGGCCTTCCCATGCATACTTTTTGGCCGCCTGCGAAAGCCGTTATCAATGAGAGGCTAAGTACTTACGTAATATGCATCTGTCCATTGATTTTTAATAGCCTTATGACTTCAAATGTGTTTTATATAAAATGTTAACGAATTTTTTCCTGTACTCCTCTGGTAGAGAATTACGTCTTCTTCAAATTTTATAGGGAGTTTCCCAGTTCCCGAGTGATCGTTATCCTTATCTGCCGTTGTAATTGTGTTTAGGGTTTTTGATCTTCAAGCTCCTTCCGTTTAAGGAATAGTATGCACCCCTCTATGTCATTAAGAAGACAATATATGATATTCATAAAATTTCGCAGTGGTTATGGACTATTTTGTGTACTTAATGAGGAACCTTGATAAAGGAAGAAATACGATGCAATTGGAATGTATATTTTAAAGTCATGAAATTTTTCACTATCAGAAACTCCTTTTAAAAGCGGAAAACAGCATTTTTTCGGGTATCAAAATTGAAGATGTAATTGGCTATCCAATGAATATAAGAACGAGTACTTTTGCTTGTATTTTGTGTACAAAGGACTTGCATTTGTATGGGCATCGAAAATCAATAGAAAACATGCATGTTTCCTAAGTCCTCGACTACTTTACTTTCTACCGGCCTGAAAAGGCACGCATTCAACATCAGGTAA